CATGAACAGAGTCATTTAACCACATTCTATGCATGTGATCAATTATCTAGGTCTTGTAACCCTTATCTTTCTTTAACCTAACCCTAAAAACAGAAACTATCCCTAAACACGGCCTAATCTAACTTGAACGAATCTCAATAGTGTCCTGATTAGGTTAATCTAACCTTAACCTGTTCTTAGCTTAAACCTTGACTTAATACTTCGTCCCAAACTCAACCTGACACTTGTCAGATATCCCACATAATAAGATAACACTTCATTAAGCATATTTTAGTCATGGTTACCATATTATTTACTAGATTTACTCGGTTGAACTCCATTGGTAGTTAAAGGCTAAATTGTTCCCCTCCCCGCCCCCCCCCCGATGATATTTTTCATTAGTCTTCGGGGAATGAACACCAGTAGTTTGGAAACCAACTGAAAATGTGCATAAGTACATTTTGACAACTCCTCAAGAATATAATCGAAAGGTCAAGACAATAAGAATTAGGGGAAATATGATGGATGCATTGTATAACTGAAGCAGGTAGCCAATGAAATTAATGACAGAGAATCAAGTGAAATGCAGATGTACTATTGAAAAAGTATTTTGTAGTCAGAACCCAAGGGACGAACAATAACATTAACAATAATAGTGATACTTCCGACACTACTGATCCCGAAATATGTATACATATATCAAATTGTTGATCTTTTTTCTACTCACACAGAGCAAATACATTTATTGGAAGGTGGGTCAGTGGGAGGGCTTTTTTTGAAGATATGAAATTTAAGGTAGACATTCAGTGGAAATCCACTGTACTCAACACAACGAACGAATACGATCCGACTTTTCAACTCTAATGTCTAGTCAGTAAGTCAGTGGTACTGTGATGACAACTGTCTGCAAGCTAAATTTGTAAAGAACAATTGACGTCAATGTTTACGTCCCAAATCTTCGTCACAAGAAAGAAAAAAACAAGAACAAAGCCTAACCTTGAGGAATTCAACAACCAGTCATAGCAGACTTAGCATGGGCGGATACGATTCGCAGATATATATATATATATCACCGGACTGTCTCAGAAACGGTAACAATGAGATGGCAAAATAACCTTCAGCAGGAAAATAAACAATCAGAAGACGTTGCTTCTCTGCAAACAATAACGCTCATAATAATGTACATAAAAATCTATAAATATATCTGTTGATTTTTTCAGTAAACGATCTGTTGCCTGGCCTATATCTTCTGTTGTTGTACTACTATATGGTTCATAGAATTGGAGCTCATGCATCACGAAAATGTATTTCCACCAGTCTACTGCAGATTTTCATAAACATCTGCCTTCACTGTCTTCGATAAAGAAGAACAGATGGTTTACTGGTGTGGACGGTGATGAGCCAAACAAGAAGAAGACCTTTGAGTGATATCATATGTTAGTTAGGCCTTAATCAATGGAACCCAGGCGGGAATTGATGAAATGGGCATTAGTCCATGGGTTACGTGGAGGATATTCTGTGAGGAGGAGAAGGAGGAGTAAATAAAAGTTGACAATCATTCGCGAAGTCAGCTAAAAAAGTAGACTGAAGAGAATACAGTGGAATGGAAGAGATATGCTGGCGGAGTCTTATGTCGTACCACTCGGAATCATTGACTCAATCAAGTTAATTATTGGTTTTCTAGGTTTTTTTTCGATTGGTTGAAGGATTTAATCATGTGCTGACATCAGTTAGACAACCATCGGAAAACCACTAGGAATCAGCCGCTAAGCTTCGAGCCTAGGACCTTCTGGTTATAAGGCGAGTTAGCTCGTCGGCCGTCAAGCCACTGAGATCTGACCTGGTGGCCTATGAAATCCGACTTTTGCCCGTTCATAACATAGCGCTACCACTTCGAAATGTCATGAATTGACAGAAGTTGAAATTCACGGGCCATTGGATTGGGTGTCAGTTGCTGAATGGTCTAAGAGCTAGCTCGCCTCGTAACCAGAAGTTGCTGGGTCCGAACCCTTGCAGTAGGTGCGTCCTGTTGAAGAGTCCCAAACTAGGCTGACGAAACAGCTGGCTGTCCAGTACTTCTTGGTGGTTTTTCAATGGTTCTCTAACTGATATCAACTCAGGATGAAACCCTCCAATAAATCAAGTCAGTTGGCTGAATCATTCCAGCTCTAAATTCATCAAAGCTAATAATCGAATAGACATGTAATTTGATATCACTTTAAAAACGTAAAACAAAGTGTCAAAATATCCTACTAATTAGCTGTCGTCTTTTATTTGTATAATAAACAGTTAAATACTTATTTTTCTCAAAAAAACGATATTATTTGACAATTTTTGAATAATTTCATTTCCCCTTCTTTTATCTGAATATTATTATTTCATCATTTAACTTTCTTAAATATATATCACATAGGATCATATGATAAATGAATTTTGACACTTTCAACTCTTCTCTCCCCTGCCATCGGTCGCGCTCTCTCTCTCTCTGTCATGCGCACGCGCTCGCTCGCTCGTTCATTCTCTTCCTCTTCTTCACTTTCATATTACCCGCTTTTCTTTTTTCAAGGTTCAACTGATATCATTTTTCTATTTCAAATTAACTGACACAATTATATTCACTTGTCAGTCTTGATATTCAACTCTGTGTGTGTGTGTGTACGTGTCATTGTTGTTGCCGTCGTGCTGGTTGTGGTGGTTGTGATGGTGTGTGTACGTTTACGTGTACCTATCAATTTCTGTACTTTTAATGTACAATCATAAAACATGTCAGTTGTAATAAAGAACATATATGTGTTATGTGTCACATGTAAAAGAGGAAATGAATCAAAATTCAAGTGATTTAAGTCATTCTCGTTATTGTTATTATTGTTGTACCAATGATGTAAAGTTAAACGTACTATAGTATACAAGTTTAAATACCCGTAGAAATCTGTACTATAGTACACAGAATACTTAAGGAAACAACCATCTTTAAAAAACTTTCATTACGCAATATACGTCGGATAAACTCCTCGAGAAGTTGGGGTTAAAATAAATAATCAACTATAGGGCTTCTTTAATTCACTTTTAGATTTTCCTATCGATTGATTGGACGGAAGTGCTCGGTTCCAGGTTGTTGTGTAGGCTTCTCGTGCAGATGCCTCAACGATGTCGTTCTAAATACGACGAAATGTGCGTTATCCTGGATCACCCTGTTAGTCGCCATCGACCATTTAACTATAGAGCTTCTGTTTAACTAGACGAGTAGACTTGAAATGTCTTCAGTTATGAGTCTACATATTATAGAATCAGGCTACAAAAGTGATTTCTAAGGAATGAGAAAAGCAATGTGTAGCTCCATTTCGTCACATTTAGTTGATAGTTGTCATGTAGTGGAGAAAACGAAAACCTTCAAGGTAATAAACTGCATCTCACCGATTCTTTTCAATAAATTTCCTATTCGTCTATTGCAGTCAGCTGAGGCGATAGGCATTCGAACTATTAAAGCTAAAGTATGCATTCAAAAGTAGTTCGTACAGCCATTATGCTTCCCTTGTTGGCCTATAAAGACCTAAGCAGCTGGTGACTTTTCCATCACCCCTTACTTATATTTTCAACCCCTTTCTTATCATCCTTTAATTTTATCACATCATTAAAACATGATCTATTTACTTCCCTTACAATCCAATATTACGTAACCGGTTCATTTGTTTTTATTAGCCTTTATCGACTACTACTTCCACCTGAACATTTGTTTGTTTAGTCATTCTGTTTTTCGTTATTTTTGATATCACAGATCGCCTCAACTTTTCATCTTTGCACGTCGAATTGGCCCAATGCGACGGCTTGTCTTTCGCGTACTGGTTGAACAGTTTCTTACAGGAAAACTTCAGTCGTAGGCTTGTGACGAAGTATGTTTTCCTCAGACATTTGCTGATGCATTTATGAAGGATCTCTGCTTCAATGTCATCTTTGAATTCTAGATTAAGCATAAGTACCTTCTTCGGGAAGTATTGGACTTGTTCGGAAGTCTTCTTTGATTTGAGTTTCTTGTCTATGAACCCAGGCGGAAAACCGTTCTCCATCAGGGTTCCCTGAAGATTACGCAGTTCTTCATCAATCGTTTCCTCGCTGCATATCTCCCGAATCCTCGAGGGAAAGGCGTATATAAAGTTCATCTTTCTGCCTTGGGGCCACAAAACTTTGAAAGTTGATGAATTGTCTATTCCATGTAGGCTTTTTGTATATGGACCTTTTCAGAGGGCTGTTGGAGTTTCTTGTCAGATGGACGTCTAAGAAGTGGAACAATCCATTGGATTCAGCTTCAAGAGTGAAGTTGATGTTTTGGTGGGCATTGTTGAAGGTTGGAAGTAAGTTTTCAAGGTTTAGGCTCTCATCACAAATGATGAAAGTATCATCAACGTATCTCTTGTAAAGATGGAGGTCACTGATGGTCTATGACAAGAAGTTGTTTTCGAGGCTGGCCATAAAACAGTCGGCTAAGAAGGGTCCCAATGGAGAGCCCATTGCTACGCCATCTGTTTGCCTGTAGATTTCATCGTTGAATCTGAAGTAGACGTTGAAGGTACAACGTAGTAACAGCTACTTTAGGCAATGGATCGGTATGCTAAGATCTATGCTTTGGCATTGTATGAAGTCACACAGAAAATATATAGTTTCTGTCAGTGGAACATTGGCGAAGAGAGAGAAGTGACGTCTAAGGAGACCACCTTTTATTTGCAAGGTTGATATTCTTAAATGAATCGACGAAATCGAATGTATCACGGAGGTTGTATATCGATAGCTTTTTCTACCAGTCACTTCGCAATTGGGTGATATGGTGAATTTATCATATTTTGTGTATTGGGCGGAGTGGGACGTCCTTTTTGTGCACTTTTGATAGTCCATACATTCGTCTTTGTTATTGAAGGAGTCACTATTATTATCACTACTATTATTATGACGAATCGCACAATTTGTATGCACTAGCTTATTATCCTGTTGACAAAACATTGTGATTGGTTTGTATTTATTTGTTACAGGATTTCATAATGAACTGACATCGGTTAGAGAACCATTGGTGAACCAACAGGGAGTACTGGACAACCAGCTGTTTCGTCAGCCTAATTTCGGACTCTTCACCAGTACGCACACACTGGAATTCGGATCCAGGTCCTTCTGTTTACAAGGCGAGCTAGCTTGTAGACCACTGAGCCACTGGGACCTGATCCAGTGGCCAGTCCATGACTTCCAACTTCTACCAATTCACGATAGTTATGCATATATTAGATTTAGGCCTGGTGAGATTTAATTCAATCAAAACAGTGTTGTTCGTTTAAGTGTGTCGTTCTAAATTTTACTACAGAAATATTTAATATCTGGGAAAATTGATTTCTACAATAGTGGAATTATTCAGAATAATTTCAAAAGTTACGAAGAACCTAATTCCATATTAAATTAGTTTATTTAAAAATATCATTCAGTGAGTGATGCAGTATTAGACCCAGTTCAGAAAAAATAGTATAATTCATCTATTAAATACCATTTAATAACTGTTAGTGAAGTCAAACTAAACTAATAGATTGGGGTCAGCAAGTTTATTCGAATATAGACCTGGAATGATTGACATTGCTAAGTTAAATAACCTCGAAAACACAGTTCAGCTATTGCACTGCATTCACTTACACGTGATCACAAAATAGGGTGGAAGGGTGTTATGTACTCTTCGCTAAATTATTGTTATGGACTGGTCGAGGAACTAATAGTCCTGACGCAAGAAGGCGGAAATCAGAAGACCACTAGGTTTGCGATGATACTTCTATTTCCAAACACAAGGAGAATGCGAAAGTGGTATCACACCAAAGTAAGTAAGTAATTAAGTTTAAGTCACACAAATTGTGAGAGCGAAATATATATGACAAGGGTGTGAACAATCATTAGACAGTCTTAACATGAATGGCTAATTATAACGAAGTGTCGATCCATATATACATAGCGAAATATAGCAGACATATCAACAACCACCATACATGGATATATGTCACCAAGCAACGGACTGTCAACAAACACTCATATTATATATAATATAAGGGGAATATACAATTTTAAAGGAGACAGGTTCATACAAGTGAAATGGTCACAGACTAAGCGAGCAAACAGAAAGAGAGACCGACATGCACGCACACACACATAAATATATATATGTTTATTTTTTTAATTTTTAATTTTTGATTACAGCTTAATTCCACACTGTATTTTTGGTACAAGTATGGAATTTTCAGCGTGGATATCGGTGGCCCAAAATTGGCAGGCCGACCATAGATATCAGGTGTACGTCGGCGAGGGCTCGAACCCCGGACCATGTGCATGGTCGGCGAGAGTCCTAACCACTGTGCCACCGATGTGGATACATATCAAAGGGGCAGAGTGAAAGATATAAAAAAATTATATAGTTAGGTGGATTGACAGACAGGTTAATCACTGAAGCTTTGCCTATCGACTCAACACCCCACACATGCTATCGGAATGATGCAACACGCTTATACTGGAGATATAGAAAGTGATAACAGACAAAAAGGGGAAGAGGAAGAGAGTATATACACGTATATGCGTATTATTTTATTCTTTTACGTCCCCAGTGGAACATAGGGCTTCAAGCTAGAGGCTTGAATTTTCAGTAATAGTGGTATCCACTTTTGCAGGATATGGTTGCTACCCTCATGCTCTACCTCCCCTCTTTGCCAGTCTTATAACCGGCTTAGCGAGGTAAAGGAGGAGTGCGTCAACCGGGGCTCGAACACCGAAACACATGAGGAGTGGTTGGCGAGCATTTTACCTCTGAGACAAATTGTGAAGCCTCGTAACTAAATTGGTATGATTATGCATCCTAATGTATGCTCAAAACGTCATCCAGTCATTCATACTGAATCAATGTGTGATATTTTTAAAATAATCTTATCTAATATGGAGTTACATTCTACCACCAAAGTCCCCAAGTTCTACACTTACATTACAAAGAATCTCTCATAGCAGAACGGCTTCATGTGAAATAGAATCTAAATTGTTTAAATGAGAATGAGACGAACTGACAGAAGTTAGAATTTATGGGTGATCGGCTCCCAACTGAATGGCTGGATCGTCATTGAGACGCTTTCGTAGCCTGAAAGTTTCAGGTTCGATTCCTGGTGACGGTAGTGGTGGGGTAATCAGTGCTCACAACTGCGCGAAATACGGCGAAGTAAGTGTCTAGTACTCTATGGGTTTTTAATGATTCTGGAACAGATTCTACTTTATGCCAAGATCTACTCCAAATTTAGTTCCGAATCCTTAAACAGAATGCAAAAATTTAAACTTTTATTAAGTTACCATATTTAGGCTTAGATTTTGCGGATTCTGATCGCATTTCAAACCATCAGAGAGTACTGGGCAGCTGTTTCTCCAGCAGTGCGCACTCGCCGCCGGGGATCGAACCTAGGACGCTAAAATCACGAATTGGATTGGAAATTGAGTCAGGCGAGTCCCTGTGGCTGAATGGTCGACGAGCTCACCTTGCAACTGGAAGGCGCTGAGTTGGAACTGCAGTGGTGAGTTTGTACTCAGCATGAGTCCAAAACAGGGACGAAACAGCTATTCATTATTCCCTTATGGGTTTTCAATGATTCTCTAGCAGACAGATGAATCCATGGTCAGACCTGATTCTGACCAACCATTAGTAGAGCAACAGTAAAGCTAGTCCATTGTGCATCGGTGGTACAGTGGTAGAATGATCGCCAACCACATAGGTGGTTCGGGGTTCGATTCCCAACCACGGATACACTCCTTTACTTCGCTAAGGCAGTAATAAGACTGGTAAAGAGTGAAGGTTGGGCATGAGGCTAGCAACTCCATCCTGTCAAAATAAGCACCACCGCTACCGAAACTTCAAGCCTCTAGTTTGAAGCCGCCTTATGTTCCACTGGGAACGTGAAGGAATAAAAAAATGGTTTTGGCGTACGTAATCTCAACAGACTTTGGATTACCAATGTATCTGCATGCTATCTGCATGAAGAAATCGATGATTTATTTACAAAATAAACTGACGTAACCACTTCTTCTGTCCTGATCATAATTTCACGTTTGGCTTTTTTTCTAGTTTTGTTATATGCCTAGTATTAATGATTACTCTTCATAGTCTTTTTATTTTTATTTTTTTTTGATTATAGCTTGTGATTCCACACCGTATTTTTTGGTACAGGTATGGAATTTTCAGCATGTGATATCGTTAGCCCAAATTTTGCAGGCCGACCAATTGATATCAGGTGTGCGTTGGCAGGGGATCGAACCCTGGACCATGTGCATAGTTGGCGAGAGTTCTAATCGCTGTACCACCGACGCAGTTACAAAACTCCATTTTGTTTTTTTTTAGTCTCTTATATAGTACTGGTTCATTTGTGCTTCTACTCCTCTGGTGAATACACCTCATTTTTTCTAAATAACCCAATGATTGATGTAAACATTGATTTGCATTCTTTTTTTTGTGGAATTTTGACCAATGTTCACTATTTAAAAAGTATTTTTATGATATAAGTGGTATTCTGATGAATTTCTATTTTTGTTGTTGTTGTTGCTGCCATGATTGACTGACTGACTGACTCTTTCAATCAATACATTGTGCATGATTACAAGAATACTCTCAATAAAATAGATTCCACAGTTATCTAGATGAAATTACTGAAAAGAGACTTTTCGCTTTATAGAGAATTTTAAAGTATTAGTTTTGTAGGGACTTTTGTTTGTTTGATTGGTTGGAGGATTTTATCATGAGTTGAAATCGGTTAGAGGACCATTGGAGAACCAACAGAGAGTACTGGATAGTCAGCTATTTCGACAGCTTAGTTTAGCACTCTTCAGCCGCACGCACCCACCGGGATTTGGGTCTCAGAGGCTTAATGGTCTAGAAGCTAATATCAGTAAAAAGTTTGAGCATTGTGGATTAGATCATATAAAGTATAATTATATTTTAATAGTTTACACACAATGATAAGTTTTGTTATTGGTAATATTTCGAGCAAAATTACTGCCCGTGTTCACACCACTGTTGGAATTGTTTTATTCACACATTTATGATTTCTACTCATATATATAGGGGAGGAGAATGCCCTTAAACCATTCAGATCATCACTAAAATGTTGGTGGAGATATGTAGACGACACACTAGTAATAGTGAAAAAAAACGATACTGAGAAACTTTTCTCACACATAAACAGACACATCGACTCAATAAAATTCACTATGGAATTAGAGAATGAAATTGGAGAACTGCCCATGTTAGATTGCAAACTACAAACAATGACAGATGATAGCATAAAAACAACGATATATAGAAATGCCACATATTCTGGAAGATTCCTTGATTATTACTCAGCTCATCCACTCTCGGTAAAACGAGGACTAATACAAGGTCTTGCAGATAGAATATGTAGACTTACAACAGCACCAGAGGACCAGCGTAAAGAAATAAAAGTCCTATTCAAAATGCTACTCGAAAACAACTACCCTAGAGAATTTATAAAAGATAATATAAAAAAGAGAAAAAAGAGGGTAAAACCGGAGAATAACAAGAAGGAAGAATGGAAAAAAACAGTCACAATACCATACAAAAATGGTACATCAGAGGCAATACAAAGAAACCTCAAAAATATCGGAATTCGAACAACCTTTAAACCGACAAATCTAATCAAAAATAGAATAAATCAACTGAAAGATCCCTTAAAAATGATGGATAAAAACAATTTGATTTATAAAATATCTTGTGCTGACTGTCCAACTAAACATGTGGGGCAGACGTCCAGATCACTCAAAATAACAGTGAATGAACATAAACGCCTAACTAAAGGTCAACCAACAGGGACACAAGCTTACAAAAATCTTGAAAAAAATTCATCGACAGCTACACATGCATGGGACAAAAACCACAATATCGATTGGGACAATGTGTGTATTCTAAAAACAAACATGAACAAATAGAAAGAAAGACTCATAACAGAATCGATATTCATTAAAGTCACACCGGATACATGTAACAAGGGTGACTCAGTACAACTATCAACAACTTGGAATATAATTCTAAATACAAACACATGAATGAATGTGGAGTATAATTCTGAACACACATGCACACACAAAACACGAATGAGCAGTAAAATATATAATAATGAACTATATATATATGAGTACAAAGTATAAATGTGTGAATAAAACAATTCCAACAGTGGTGTGAACACGAGCAGTAATTTTGCTCGAAATATTACCAATAACAAAA